CTATACGCCGCTTTTTATGGAATGGCACGGAAGTGTCACATTGAAGGTTCCATGATAACAGCCGTATGAACACATCTGCTAATGTTTCTAAATTCAAAATGTCACTTTATTTTTCTTTTCTCCCGTTCTCACCAGAATTATGTAGAGCTAACTTTTGTTATATTACTTGAAGAAAGAAAAAACTCAGAAACAATGGAAATCACCAAGAGCAATGAAATCCAAGAACTATAAATTGTTTATGAAATAAGTGTCATGTGTTTCGGTAATCTTTTTTTTTCAAACAGTAGACAAAATAACTCCTCTATAAGGCCTCTAGTTTTCGAAACTCCATTGCACCAGCTGAAAATCCAAACACGTGACACTTTTCTGTGAATTTAATTAGACAGGTACCTGGTATGAATAATTGATTTGACGTTGTCTTATTGTGGGGAAAAAAGAAACATGAAACTGAAATAATTGCACTTTCATTTATTGTTATTTAGTTGAAAATAGCATGCAGTTTTCCTTCCAGGGCGGTAATCCAATGACATATTGTTCTCATTTTTAGGGAATAGAATATTTTATATTTTTTAATTACAGGATCAAAAGTACAATTTTATCATGCTTTTTAAGCTTGTTTTGTTAAAATCGGTATAGTAGTATATTTATTTTATTTAAGTAAAACATTATTAGATATGATTTTATTAGTGGCCAAGCTGTTGTGGGTTCCAAAGCTTACTCGTTGCTACTTCAGGCGGCGTATTGAAATTGTTCATACTTGCACAACTCAAGTACAAATATTAGAAAATTTAAATCTAAATGTGGCTACATACAACTGTGAATGTATCGAATAAGAAGGTTTTTCACATTTTCCATTCTTTCACTGTAACTGTAACAAAATAAAAAACCGCAACTTTTTCTTTAACAATAGTGTGATTGTCAATTTTATTGCTTTATGGTTAGTTGCATTATTTCATAAAAACCTTGTCACCTGAGAGATACGATCTGTTCCAGATACAAACAGTGTAAGTCATGTTTGATGCGTTTGGTAAGATAACCCATTTATAAATCGGTGATTCCACCCCAATTCAACCGGAACGTTTTGCCCATGAGATGAGTCTCACAGTTTCAATACAATTTTAAAATTTATCATCCTTGGTGACATAACTTCTGCATATGTCAAAATGTGAAGACATAACCGTTTTACAGACTGAATAGTGGATATTTGTTTGTTCTGAATGCAAGATCGAAATATGTAACACTTGAGTGTACACCAGATGCATATTTTCACTTGTGGCTACGCCACTCGTGAAAATATAATAGTTGGTGTTCACGAATGAAATATATTTCAATCTTATATGAAAAACAAACACAATTCCTATTTATTTCATGCATTTTTAGTGATTTAAGGTGAATTTTACTTGTTTTGCCGCGTAACGCCATGCGTTCTTCTTCATGATATCATGACGTCAACGAATCAATGTTGCAATTTAGTTCTGTAAAATTTCTCGAAACTTGTTACATTTTTAATACAATGTATGCAGTTATTTCCTTGCTTCTCCTAAAGAAGCAAAATTTGCATACGACAGAATTATCAAATATAATTTCTCTGTAAAATTTTCAAGTACGTATGATTTCAATTTCCCCTGCTAAGAATGTAATAAAATAGATTGTTATCATTTTTATACAAGAATACCGGAATGCTGGTTTAATAGTACATATAAACAGGATATAAATGACCGACATAACCTCTGAGAGTGAGGCAAAATACATATTATAATATGAAACTATTTTGATATCAACTCTGTTAAAAAACTAACAAAAACATATTATAATGAAAACAAAACTAAATCAAAACTATCTGTAATGAAAGTTTTTGTTTCTATTATGAAACAAAATAACATGATATATGTAAATTAAATTTTGGGTACTTGATTGTTGTTATAAAGATGTGTGTTTCCAATTCGATGGCAATTCGTTTTTTAACATTATAACATTCCAATTGATAACATTTCATCAACAACGACAATACAGGCAAAGTTAACTTAATTTTCTAAGTTTTAAAACTTAAGTAGAGATGAAAATATTAATGGTGTCATATCATAAAGTTGATGTTTATATCTTAAAATTGTCCTTTTCTGTTATGGTTGTTTTTCAAAGTCAACCAATTTTATTTAGTTTTCAAAAGGCATTTGTAAAATGTTAACAGTGTGCAAATTGTAAATTCATTCTTTCGAAACACTTATTGCAAAGAAACAATATGTTGATATTTGAAAAAAAAATCATATGACATTTCATCATTAATTCTAAAATACCTACTTAATGTTGATTAAGATAAATTGTCAGGTACCAGGCATGATTTTTTTTTCTCTACTTGAAACCAAATTAATCACATTTAATCTATGTACATTTGGTTTTTAAACAAATGACCCTAAGATTTCATACATTTATGTTTAGTTATTGGCAAGTTTTTTTTCCAGTTAAGACATTGTTTCATGTTCAAAGAAATTCGAATTATCATTAATCTTAAAGCCGCACATTTGATTTAAAGATCCTGTATGTTGTCATTGAGGTTGTAACAACACTTAAATGAAATTTAATATATGTATATAATTATGCTTCAAACATCAAAGAATATGTAGAATATGTAATGCAAATATTTATCCACATTTAATGTTATCTTTAAAATATATATGCTTTCATTTCTTATTGAAAAACTTGACTTTATAGAAAATAAATTTCTAATATTACCTCTCTTTATTAACATGAAATGAAAATTCGGTAATATATTTACAAATAATGCATTTTGGGACTTACAATACTGATAAAACTTCACTTGTGCAATATATTTATGATACAAAACCATTAAAGAATTGAGTTGTTACAAGATCTTTGATGTTGTTTATGAAAAATAAGGGTAAAATTTCTGATGAATGTTTTCCATTGTTCTGTTGCAAGAAAAAAAAAACAATTTATATGAGCCAAAATCTGACAAAAGAAAAAAGATAAAAAAATATTACATTATTCATAGAAAAAAATGGACAGGTGATTTGGAATAAATGAATATTAAAAGACAGCAGTTGACGTAGTCCCCCATTGTAAGTAAAGCATTTTGCTTTAATTATTGTTCCGTGATTTGTAATTCATTTTTAAGTATTAAATATAAACATGTTTCTTCTTATTACATTATTAATGTTTTCCTTTTTCTTAGTTTTCTTAATAACTAAGAAAGTTTGGAATTTATGATAATATCGCCAGTCACCTTGAATATTACACACATTTATTGAGGTTTTCAGAATTATCAACTGTCACACGTGTTCTAAATTCATGAGAAAAATTGTCGTAGTCGGTTCATAACATGATATTATTTAACTGCAGTTTTATACTATCCTATCATAAAGGCAAGTCATTATATAGATGTACAAGCCCAACATTCAGAAAAGAATTTTCATTTTCAACTTATTTTATCGTGACTTAGATATTTGCCAAACGTTCTATTCAAGCAAACAGACGACTCGGTTTAAGTAATTATATTCATATTTTATTGTCCTCGTTCATTTGAAACCTACAATTTTGTTAATTTGTTGATATAAATAGTCTTGAATTACAGCAGGTGAGGTGGTTTTGATCCCGGATGTTGCTTTAAGTTTGTAACACCTGAGGTTAGCCAAAATCATTTTTACTGTCATATGACCAAAATTAAACGAACAAAGGTATTTCATAATTTTCCTGGTAGAAAATGTAGTAAATCGTTAAAAACTGGTTTTAACTTTAGATTTACAGGTCATATTACTTTGAAAGATACAGTTTAACAAATAAACTTGTTTAATATTTATCACCCATAAAAGAGGATGTGAATAAATTTCTTAAACCATTACGCGGTACACACGCCTTTTAACTTCACCCCAACCCTAATTTTGTTGTCTTAAATGGTGAAAAAATGCCTTATAAGGGCCCCCTTCACTTATCTTTGTTTGAGAAATGTTGTTTTTAAAAGTGACCACTTTTTCGGCGCCCCCCCCCACCACAACCAAATGATACATCAGGAGGTTGCCAGAAGGGGGATGTGCCCTCTTCTGTTTGGGGGCTGTGAATGGGGGCGGCAGTCTCCCTCATCGCAAAGAAAATTATGGACTTGTAAGAAGCTAAAAATGACCCCAGATCGATCGTAAGTTAAAGTGTAACCAACGCTGAAAAGCAATTGACTCTATCTCAATCAATTGAGAAGTTGCAGCACTTTGAAATCAATTTTGATGGAAAAAAATCAACGCATAATAGTGATTTCTGGCAATTTTGAGATGTCCCCTCGTTGCCATGGTAACATGAAATTTAAGCAATGATCATGTTGTTGCAAAGGCAGGCAATGGTTCAGTCAACACTTGTGCCAAGTTGATTAGTATTGAAGCAGTTTTTATAGTTTTATAGCAAGTTGAACTTGTAATGTGAGACTTTTCAATGAAAAATCCAATTTTCACAAAATGCTCGTGAAGTAATGGGTTGATATAGCTTACTAAGTACTTGGCAATGCATTTCTTAATATAATAAGCAACCCCTTTTGATGCGTTGTATTCTTGCAAAGTTATTGGATCTTTGTTTAAAGAGGCTCTACTTATTGATTCATAATTGTGACGTAGGCTTATAACAAGAGGAGATAATTTTTTCTCTCTCATTGTAAATTATGTAGAGATGTTTCTTACAAATAGTGATTATTGTTTACATTAGATTAATTATCCATCTTCTTATTGCTATATGCTGACGACGCCGTTTTTTTCATTCCTTTTTTTGTCAGAAACGGCGGACGGGCTACAAGAATTAATAAATAATTTAGAATATTATTGTCAGACGTTGAACTTACAGGTAAATTCTGAGGAATTCATGTGCTATGTGAAACTAGAGGTGGGATGAATGGAGTCGTAATTATCTGTATTATGTTTGGGAAAAATAAGAAATTACTTAAAATCTTGGCGATTAATTGTTTTGATTAAACATTAATAGAATGAATAATATAAGTAAAAACTCACTAGATGGAAAGTATAATATCCAAACTCACGTCTTAGAACGATAGAAGGCTACTAAATCTTCCGGGTAAAGCAACGATGTTTATACTTTCAAATATGCAATTTGGTTTCATCTTCACAGATTTTCATTAAAGTTACTGAAGCATAACCTATCTTGGTCATTACAGGCGAATATTATTGGGACAAATATTTTTTTATCAAATTGTTTTATTGTTTGCATATCACACAAACAAAACTAAAAGCATGAATACAATACTAAGTCAAACAATAATTAAGCAAAAATGTATTTAAAAAGATTTAAAATGAATTGATCTATACTGGAAGATCTGTAAATAAATACACTATGTAGTTATGTTGACAGTATTTAGTATATTTAGACGTAACAACAAACAACGAACATTATTATGTATGGATTTTGTTGGTAATTGTAAGAAATATGACCCGATGTGTCAAATACTTATATAGCAGAAAAATAAAATGTTCCACAACAAAATCTATTTTTCATAATATTAATGTTAAAAACTTTATACTCAATCTCTTAGGACTTTTTCAACACTTTTTAGTGTCAAGCAATATGTTATACGAATACCCAAATGACACATTTATATTGTTTTTTTCCATCAAAATTTGAAATTCCTAAAATTGTATGAGCACATTATAGACCAATCATTTTTAATAATTCTTTTAAAATATTTGAAAATTGTGAGTTTATTTTTATTTTGAGATGACTTTTAATCACTTTGCAACATAACTCCTCTAAAATTTGAAAGTAATTAGAAGGTAGAATTTAATGTTAAAAATTGATAACTGAAAGTCAAAAATATTTCACAACGTCACCACCAACCAAAACAGAACATAATTGACCCTCTACTGCCAAAATAGCCACATCCTAAACAAATACTTGAACCACCTCTATCATTCTCTTAATAATACCTCTAAAAATTAAGCAAAGAAATATCTCATGGCAATGCATTTAAATTTATATGCATAAATTATAATTTATTTAGCAAAAATGAGGAAATAGATTGATATACAAGTCAAAAACGTAGTTTCAATTTTAGTTTAAACAATTGTCATAAATGGTAAAAACAACATTGCAGAGAGATGTACCTTACGGTTCCATGCTTTCTTGAGTCAGAATCATGAGACATATTTTAAAGGTTGGGTCAGCGTTCAAAGTATATCAATTAAGTTGAATCCGTTTGGTGGGATAGCACTGCGGTTTATTTGTTTCAAACATCATGCATCCGGACAGGAAAATACAGTTTATATACAAAACAAATATAGATTCTGTTGTTGCTGTGATGAAATAAACTGAAGAAGAACATCAGGAATTGTATAATAGTATAATGAATTTCACTCAGTTTTAAGTCACGAATTCATAGACGATATACATAGTAACATACAAAAGAAGAATAGTCAAATAATGAGTGTTACAAACTAAATGGCTTGAGAAAATATTTTTATGTCTTAAGATATTATAGAGAAACAGAAATGTCAATGCATTTAAAATATTAATGAAGTGGCTTTAAGTAAACTTAGTGATACAATACATAAAGTTTGTTATTTGAAGGTATGCCTATGACTGATTTTATAGTTTACCTTCATGACAAATTTTGTAATGAAATATTAAACTAGGTATGTGATTGTATGAGCAAGCAGTCTTTATATCTGCGTAATCCATTAAAAGAAAAATAAAGTTCTCCCTGCTTTATGTTTATTTTTAAGGGTTTAATAACATTTCTTACTTCGTTTCACGTAAAGAATTTCGACTTTTCTAAAAATGAATCTTTTATCTGTTACTACTTTCATTTCATAATACAAAAATGTGTATGCAAGAGAATGCTCAACATAATTATCTTCACTCCCTTTTTTCAAAGCAAAAACATTAAACATTAACTGACGTTATGATATTGGAAAATACAAAAATCTACGAGATCAATGAACCCAAATCAAAAAGCTGAAAAGTTGCATTCTCGATTTTATAAAGTATATTCAGTACAATTTATAGAAAAGTGCAACATCGCCCATGCCCGCTAGCACCGGCCTCGGTTATTATAGTCTATTATTAACACTAGCAGAGAAATAAAACGGACTCAATTATCCCGGATTCAAAACTTCTCAAATTAAATAAGTGGCATGTGTACAGAAATCATTTATCATTTTTCAAACAGGAGACAAAATAATTGCATCTAGTTGTCAGGGACTCGATCGATATAGCGCCAGCTGAAAACCCAAACACCTGACACCTTTCTGCGAAGTTGATTAGACAGGTACCTGGTATCAATAATTGATGATGATGTTGTTTTATTGTGGGAAATAAAGAAACCTGAAACTATGAAAATTGCTCTTTAATTAAATATGATTAATTAAAAACATGCAGATTTCTTTCAGGGCGATTATCCAACGAGATAGTTACAGAATGAATTTATTTTTGTAAATAATAGGATGAATATTAGAAATTTTATCCTGATTTTTAAGATATCTCCGCCATTTTCTCTATGATTTGGGTTGAATTATCCGATTTTACATGCACAATGAATATAAGGTAGACAACTTGTTGTGAAATAACTTATATCTATTAAATAACATTTTGATAATAAGTATGATAATCAGATTATGTTTTTATGATAAACAGAAACATATGCAATATGTACAGTTTTGTCAATGTTCAATTCTGTCTAAATCGGTATGCTTATTAATAAAAACCTTCGTGAAACTATGTAAATAATGACCAAGCTTACTATTTTCAACTCTGTTCTTTTGTCGCCGTTTTGTGCACACTTGACCTACTCTAGTACAAACATTAAATATTTACAATCTCAATGTGACCCTATACAAGAGTATATATCAAATTAAGAAGGTTCACGTAACAGTAGCAAAAGCGTTAAACACGCAACAGTTCCCTAGGAAAAACAATGGCTTTGTTTGTTTTATTGCTGCATGGTTAATTGTATTATGTCATGAAAACTTTCATTCTGTGATAAAAAGGCATAGATCTATTCCAAACACAATGTAATCAAGTGCGACTCGTTTGGTAAGATAAGGCATCGATTAATCTGTTGCTCCCAATCAATTCAACCGGGACGTATTGCCCATGAAGACAATTTAGAGATGTGCACAGTTTCATAGCAATGTTACAATCGATCGTTCCAGGTGATGTAACTTCTTTATCCGATGATGTGAAGAAATAACCATTTGTTTAATTTAGTTTATTGTTGATTTTTTTTTCATTCTTTACAGGAACAGATACAATATCACATGCAAACTTATGAAAAACAATAACGATTTTCAGATGCTATAGTTATTCATAAAAAAAAGGAATAGGGTAGGGCTACAAGTTTTAACAACATTAGAGAGTTGGCCCTCACTCGAAGTAAAAAGATGTGCATAGATCCTGTTGAAATTGGAATCCAATAATTGGTATATATCAGCAGTCAACATGATATCATTTAAGAAATAGATTTTTTTTTTAAAGAAATAACGGTTGGAAAAAGTGTCGCTGATTTTCCGGTCGATTTGTTTCCCTGACAACTGGTACATGCTTTATGAAAAAAGATAATATATAGCATTTTAATGTTACAACCTTTGACAATGATAAAATTTAATACTTTATAATGAAAATAGTTTTGTTTAACCCTTTCCAGTATAAAGAATTGTATAATGAAAACGAAACTTTAAGAGAATAAAGTTATATCCAATTCATTTATTCAGAGACATAAATAACTATGTTATCTATGTCGCTGAATTATTTCATAAATTATATAAACATTAAAATTATGATCATTTAATAATATGGTAAATTCTCAAAATATTTAGTTTTGTACAATAAAACCATACTTAGTCAAAATCAACCCTGTATGATAAATTCTGTTTTCTATATTCATTTTACAATGTTTAAGTTTTTTATGTCCTTAATTGTTTTTAATATAATTTTTATATAAAAATCTGGAAACAAAGTGATCCCACGGAAGCATTTATCACAACAAAATTACATATAAGAATTGCAGACTCGGTTTGATTAAGTTTGTACATGAGGGATAATGAATACGTGCAACATATAGACATAATAAAACGTTTAGGAAAGAAACTAGCATGTTGCTATATTTAGTAGAATTTTGACCGTTTAGCAATATTTCGAATTTGTGTCATTCGCTCTTTTATACAAACATATTCTTTGATTTGGGTAATATGGGAGGTATTCTCTTTTTTAATTATAAAGATCAATTAGCTTATTAAAGTTATACTGTGCTCATCTTTGATTGAAATATGTTTATGGCAGAAGTTTATGGAAATCTATAAAACTAATACTAAATATGTCTTATTTGAATAAAATAACGTTCAAGCTAGCTGGTTCTGTTTTGAAAAAAAACAGCCAGGTAATAAATGTAACTATATATAAATAGATTGTCCAATATAGTGTGTAGGATTTAATGCATAACATATTTTTTTTATAAGAAGATTTTATATGTACAAAAAGACTGTGAAGCAATTATCAAAAGTTTCAAAAATCAAATTTGAGCATAGTATATCTTTAACTATGTGTATCAGTTAGGTTTTAACACGTTTAACATACTATACTAAACAACAATAATTACATACATAAATAAAATCTAAATTTTCTAAAATTACGTATTGACAAAATGATACTTATAAACTTAATTTATTTTCAAATTCCGTTATTTTTATTCAATGGGATTTCGTTCTAATCAGATTAACATTTAATCAAGTTTTTTTTTTTAAATACTTTATCAACAAGCCAAATACAAAATCACAGTTAATCTATATTTCAAGCCACATGCATGTTGTTCAGTGAAGATTTAAATAGTTTCATAGAAATAAGATAAAGATAACTTTTTCTTTCTTGGCGTAAACCTTTATATGAAAACGAAAAAAAATATAACACATAAAAAATGCCTAAACTTTAGATAGTACAATAAGCTAAAAACAGTATGAATACATAGTGTCATTAAAAATAAAAGTTTTTTAAAGGAAGGACCACCGTAACTTGACCTTTAATTGGAAATGCACCTTCAAATGCATAGTTTGTGCATTTTTTCATTATTGAAATTGGACATATTCAGAAGAGAAATAATAGTGTTTAATACAATTCTGCAACAACAAAAAAAACGTGTGTT